CCTGTAGGCTTCGCATCGCACTCTACGGACACCCGGACTCCGGGGGGCTATGGGAGCAGCATTGTACAGACATGTTGGTAGCCGTTGGATTCGCTATGCCTGATCCTGAGGGTTGGCCATCGGTGTTTTTCCATGCTAGTCTTCGTCTATTGCTCATCGTTTATGTTGACGACTTCAAGATGTCTGGGCCCAAAGAATCGTTGCAGAAGGGATGGAGCTTGATCGCCTCCAAGATTGACCTCGACACCCCGGGACCGGTCGGGAGATACTTGGGGTGTGAGCACATCTACAGGCGGGGAGTAACTCTGCCAGTAGAGGCGCATCCGTTTGCACATGTGTTCGACAAACGAATTCCAGATCCCGCCGCAAAGACTGCTGCAGCAGGAGTTCAGAGAACACAAGATTTTTGGGAGCATCATCCTGATAGTCCTGTTTACGCAAGACACCACGTCCAACCAAGAAAACAAATGTTTGTACCTGAAGAGTCCCTGATACAAGAACTTGGTCTGTCCAATGTCCGTTGCACGTGCTTTGATGAGTGCGCGCCGGAGGGCGGAGCCGAGATTCAATGGGATCACATCAATGACAGGAAACGAACACCATCATTATGGACAGGTGTCACTTATCTATTCACCAAAGAATGCGGTGACCCCAAGCTTGCTCTTGCTGGGGTCACTCGCGACAAGGGTAGTGCAAAGAAAGCCGCAAGAAGTCAGAACTTTTCGTATTTAGACCAGCTTCACAACAAAGTAGATTTCGCTCTATTCAGGTCCTATTTCAATCTGTTCAGGTTTCAACACTTTGTTGGAAGTCTGAGCAGGGACTGTTTTTGCTCTCTAAGAGTTATTCAGCCGAGACCGCAAACCATCCTTTTTTCACTGGCTGGGAAGGAACTTCGTCGGGTAACGTTCAGCAAAACTGAGTATCAAGACTGCATTTAACTCCACAGGGCTCCTGAAGAAATACCTGGAAAAGTCGTTGATGCTTTGAGACTTTCTTCAACATTTGGCACTTAGCAGTCTTTCAACACAGACCTAGACAAGTCGGATTACGCTGCCCTCAGTCATCTTGATCGGTTGCTTCAAGAAATACAGAGGTTTTCCTCAGTTTGGACAAGTGGCAAACTGCCACTCATGGGCATTCACTCCATGGACACATCACAAAAAATTGTCTCTCAGTGTCTAGGGCTGACCTCGTTGATCTGCTGTATGTATGCCACCCTCCAAACTCGATCCAGCTGACGGCTGGCTTCAAGCTCCTGAGCAATGGTGGAAAGGGCAATGATGGTGGAAAGTGGGAGCCCCAGCAACAAGAAAAGTAAGCCAGTAAACTTCAAGTTTAAGTGTCAGCTATTGTGAAGTAACTGGCCAAAGTCGAATACTTCACACCACTGCCAGAAGGAACTGAGTATTGGAAGTAGTTCTGGACGGCCTTCGGCTTGATGATGTAGGATTGGACTCCTGTTCTCAAGGTTGGAAGGACAGTAAGAAGACCCCAATAGGAATCCAAAGGATGCAGAAGACTGTAAGTGGGGACAGTGGTTGACAAGAAAACCAGCCCTGCCTTCTGTCGTGATTGGGGTGGATAGCTCATGAGAGTTCACCGTTGGGTCTGTCACCCCAGCTTCACCCATCTCTCTAAGCAACGTGGCCCAAGTGCACCGCTCGCTGTCACGGCAAGCCTTTGGGTTTTGTTCATTCGGAACTTCAAGCACGACGTGCTCAGAAGAACTTTTCCACTCAGCTGCAATGATCCGTTCCAGTTCACCTGGCATACAATCGGTGAACCATTGTTTCAGTGGTTTTTGGGAGCTCCGTTTGATCATTGTTTCAAGGGTGTGTTGATAGACATTGGGTCCTTTTCTTGCGCGGCTCGGCGAAGCGAGAGAGGTTGGATACATCGAACTACCTCCGACCTAGATGAGAGATACTGTATTCCCTAGTATCTCATACTAAGATATTGTGCCAGTTAGCAACCCGCACTCACCCGCACCAATTCTTACATAAAAACAGGATCCATTCTTACATTAAAAATACGTCAAATAAACAAATAAATCCTATTCTCATGGCCTTTAAATCTTTATAGCCGGACTTCATGCGGGTTGTCTGTTTCTGGCAAGCCCCAGTAGACCACATTTGGTGAACATCATAGGCTCATGGCTCACGGTGACATTTCATTCGACACCACCCGAGCCCTCTTCCAGCTCAGATTCACCGGCTTCATCCATATCCTCTGGATTAGGAATATCCTCCATATCCTCTGGATTAGGAATATCCTCGGGATTAGGATCATCCAGATCCTCGGGATCATCCAGATCCTCGGGATCATCCAGATCCTCAGGAACAGGAGGTTCCTCCTCAGCAGGTTCCTCCTCAGGAGGATCCTCCAGCGCACCAAGGTCCTCACCATTGGGTTCCTCGATGGCGGGCTGTGCCTTCTTTCGGAGACGTCGCCTGCTCAGCTCCGAAGGGGAAAGGTTCTTCATGCTGGCCACTCGTTCAGGATGCTGACCCCACCTCAAAGAGATACAGTGACCAGTGGTTTCAGAGTAGATGATAGGTGGCACAACCCCCAAGATGTGTTGTTTTTATGGGGGTCCATCTAAACCAACACCTTTTGGGGATTGCGCCATCTACTCGTAAAAGGTTGCAGTGATTGGTTCATCGTTCAAGTTCTTGCCCGCAACTCGAATAACATGCTGGAATAGTTCCAAACAGTTCTGACAGTAAAATCGCCTAGAGTTTACTTCAGAGCCGGCTAGAGTTTACTTCAGAGTTCAATCGGTCAGTCATTTTTGGGGCCATGACTCTTCCCTTGCCATCTTCAAAACTTCTTTCTTGGATGCTTCCGGATGGGCTTCCTGAAGTCTCTTCTGGGCCTCATGGATGTGGTTCCAAAAGGTCGCGCGAAGGCCAACAAGGCCAGGAGCGCCAGACTTGGCCTGGCCAAAGCGTGACATAGATTGATAGCATAACATGATAGTAAGATGAATAGATGGTTGGAAAGACAGATGGTTGGATAGCAAGTTGGCTAGATAGCTGGTCCAATGCAACAAGTTGGTCCCCCTTAAATGGCCAGTCCTTTGATCCATCTTCGTTCTTTCTCCTTGACTTTCGAGGCTTGGTCTCCTGACCTGCATTCTTCTCTTGGTCACTCGGACCCTGCTCCACAGCCTTCGTCTTCTTCCCACCCGCACGCTTCTGATTCTCATTTTCGACCTCCTCCTTGTCAGCGTCTTCCTTCAGAAGCGCCCTCTTCCTTCCCTTCGTCTCTGGCTCCTTCGTCTCTGTCCTAGTCCTCGTGAATGCCATCATGGCCGCCTTCCTTTCTTCCGCAGAAAGCTGAGACTTGTTCTGCTTTTCTTTGGTCTCCTTTTTCCCAGGCACCTCAGGTGCAGCACGCTTTGGCTTCTTTTCTTTCTTCTGAGTCTCACGTGGTTCCCCCTTTGCCGCCTGCGGCTCCTGCTTGGGAAGTTCTCCATGTTCAGCAGTGGCCTCCTTCTGTGGATCCTCATCTGTCAGTGAGGGGTCGGAGCTTGAAGGTTCCTCTGGGTCTAGGGGGTTTTCCTCCTCCTCCTTTGTCAACTTCCTCCCTTTGCTTGAAGCTTTGGACTTTGCTTTTGCTGTAGCCTTCCCTGAAGCTTTGGCCTTTGCTGTAGGCTTCCCTGAAGCCTTCGCTTTGGCCTTCCCTGAGGCTTTAGGCTCCTCCTGCTTTTCTGTCTTCTTTTGTGTCTTGACTTGCTTCTTCAGTGCAGCAATCTCGTCCTTCAGCGCTTGGACCCTCTTTTGCGACATCTCAGGATCATTCTCCACATCTCTGTTCATCACCTGCATCGGCACCTTTGGAGCTTTTGGAGCATGCATCACTGTAGTCTCATCTTGCTCTGGTGGAGTCTCAGGTTGCTCTTTGGGCGTTGGCGTGCCCTCAGGTAGCTTTGAGTCTGGTTTTTCGCCTGGACTGTTGCTGCCTGGTACAAGCTTGAACTCACGGACTGTTGGACCTGCTGCTGGTACACCTTGCTCCTGGCAACAAGGTGATAGTGTTGCATTAGTCTAGAGCATCAGTCTGGCAACAAGGTGAGATTAGTGTCTAGTGCATTAGTCGTGAGTCAGTTGTCACCCAATGGTCCTTTGGCGCTGTCGAGTTCGGAGACTTGAAGGCCTAAGTCCGAGTTGAGGTGTTTGAGACTAATATTCCAGTTGAGGTGTTTGTCAGATTTAAGATTTCTACTGGGCGAGGCGGAGGCGTGTTAAGAACACCAGGGCTGTCATTAATCATGAGATGGAGGTCCTCGCGTCCAGGAAAAACATCAAATAATTCAGTGCAAAGAGTGAGAGAAAAAAAGTGGCTGCGCAATTCACTTGACACGCCAAGCCTGGTCAAAACCATGCTCTGCCAAAAGCTGCTCAATCCGACTCATTGCTGATCACTACAAGTAAGTGCTCCAAAATGTGGTTCCTGAAAATCAATTGCTCCTAGGGTTTGAGCCATGCAGATCAGAGGGAGTTTCAGACTTTTGATGCTTACGTTGAAGCAATTAAGAATAACCACGCTTGACTCAAAGACGTCAAACCAAGCAAGGAGGACCTTCTTTGTCTTGACGTTTCATGGTGGCAACTCTGTCGGATTTGATCCATTTCGATGATGCGTGGCAGACCTGAAACTCCATAGTGCCCACCTCCACGGGAAGGGTTGCTGCCTCAAAGTTGATGGAATAATTGAAATGGATCGAACTAAAGTTCTTAGATCAAAGACTCTAAGATCAAAGTTCTTAGACTTAGAACAAAAGACTCTAAGATCAAAGTTCTTAGACCTTATATCGGTTTACTTTGATCTATTGTGTACTGTTGGTTTGGATTCCAAAGTTCATGAACAAAAAGCAAAATCATCAGCCGTGTCACCAGAAACAGTTTCCATTTCTGGTGTGGAAGGGTTCCTTCTACTTCACCGTCGCGGCGTTTTGCAGACACCAAATATAGAGTGGTGCCCGGAGTCCGGCCGGCGACTTTGTTTTCCAAAATATGGGTGTCGAGCAAAGCATCGATGGTTGCAGGCTCTCCCTTCCAAGGCTCCATCGGGGCAATCGGGGTCTCGGGTTCTTCGGACTCCCCAACGACCAAGGCTTTCATATGCTCTGCGTCGTCCATGGTCTGGTTCCCGAACCTGATGGTCTGGGCTGGAAGGGATGGTCGAAAAGAGTGTTATTGCTAGATCGTGTTAGATTGTGTTGGAGTCGGTGAAAAAATAGACAAAAAACAAATCTCTATTACTGCTAGATGGCTTTTTATCGAAGTCCTGGAGCAATGCCGACCAGTCTGACCCAAAAACTGGGTCAGACAAATGCCTTGCTCTGACAGCTGGTGGCAGTCTGAAGCGTAGGTTCTTCCAAGTGTTCATCGCTGTGTCGTACTCGTAGTCCACTTGGACCAGCTTGAGTGGGAATTTGGTCGGGTCACAGCTCACATCACATGAAGGCGTAGGTGGGGTGGCCTCGTAAGGCCTGACATTCCCGATTCGGATTTTGGACGGGTCTTTCTGAGTCTTCCACTCCTGCGCAAGGCTCTCTTGCTGTGAGGAGAGGTTCCCAGGGAGGTTCCCGCAAGGTTCTCTAATTTAGTATCATAATTGTAAAAAAAAACTTTTTTGGCCCAGTCCTCCAGGAATTCGATGGCCAAAGACTTTTCCACATACTGGCAAGCGGGTAGCTGCTTTGTAAGACTGACTGACTTGAACTTGTGAGTGAGGCCATAGGTGCTCCATTTGGAGAGTGTCTTCTCCAACCATGCGTCGTACGGAGTCAGATTGATGCATAGCAGGGTCTCGTCATTCTTGATGTCAGACTTGTCCAACAGAGTCGAAATCAGCACCCGTGGAAATTGCTCTCCTCCAAGGATTTGCGCTGCTTCTTGAACATCAGACAGGCTCCTGTCGTGAGGCAGGAAGGGCATGGGAAGGGCGCGTCCACAACCAGATCCCCCCACTTACAGCCTTGTGTGGGATTTCGCATTGATTGCACAATTTCTGAATTCCCCAATCAATGAAAATGATCCCTCCATAGGTGGTTTGATTTGATTTGTTTGATAGTTTTTGTCCTGAGTTTGGTGAGTCTATAAAGTTTATCGTTTATCTGTCAGATCCGTTTTGATAGTTTTTAATGCTCTCAGTCTGACTTAAAGTGAGTCTCTAAGTTTATCGTTGCTGTCTGTCCTAAGTCCTTCGCTCGCATGGGGAAGGTCATCCTTGTTTGCAGCCGGAATGATGTAAGCTGATTCGTTCGGAAGTGTGATGTCAACTCGATTGCTCCTGACCAGAAAACGGTTTGCGCAGCATTGATTGATATTTAAACCAGAATTATAAGAAATTGGAGTATCATGATCAACATTTGGTACATCTTCCTATACCTCACGTGCTTCAAATAAATTTGTGCCCTCGCCTGTCAAGCAATAGTTGGGAAGATCTGAAGATGTTCTCACCCCGGTTGTGCTCCTCCATGAGAATCCAGGCGTCATAGGTGATCGGGATCTTCCGCTTGGTACTCGGAGGAGCGCACCTGATGTTGATTGCATCGCTCCACAAGTTCCGGGCGTCGTATTTATCTTCCAGGCGCCTGACAGACTGACGGGCCAACTAGACCAGCTTCATCCAGTTCAATGTAACTGAGCCTTCTTTCCAAACATCATTGTGCAACAACAACTGAACCACATTGCAGTTGTCCAACTAGTGCCGTGCCTCAACTCCCCACGATGACCTGACGTTACCTTCTCGGACGTCAAAAAAGGGCTGATCACAAACGCAACTGATGATGTAGGTCGCTTCTTCAAAGCGAGCTGAATCAATTCCGTTGTGTCTTGGATGTCAGTCTTTGACAATCTGCCCATCTTCATGAAATCGCACCAAACCAGCACTGTGGCGGAAGGGTTCTGCGCAAGCGCCTTCCGGAAGACTCAGACTCAATCAGCTATTTGGAAAAATATGAGTCCTCTTGAGGTGATTGCGCCTAGTTACGTTGGAAACACGAGGTCGGTCCAATATTAATATCCAATACCAACCAAAATGAATCTTCATTTGGAAACTCCTGGCCCTTTCAATGGCTGCAGCTTGATCTTTCACAGAGCCAGACATCACTGAGCAGCTCGATGCCATCCAGGTGGATACTAGGCTGGCGCCGATCACATTCTGGTTCCGGATGTGAAGAATCCTTTCTGTTCTCCGTGCATGGTCTGATTTGGAAAGCGCACGGATCAAATTGCCGATTTGTGCAATGTCCCTTGCGAGGGAGAGCTGGTCAGATTCGTACTGAGCTCGTTTTGCATCAAGTGCAAGAGAGTCCAGCTTCGTGTCTGCGGATTCAACTTGGGCGATGTTCTTGCTTGGACGGTCAGGCAAAAACTCATTGTAGATCGCTGTGGCTTCCACCTTGAACAATGGATCCATGCAGCCAAGCAAGGAATCCGCTTCATCGTGATAATCCCTCGGAGGCAAACAACATCAAACAACCATTTACAACGTGATTGATAGTTTTGTTCACCCGCCAGTCCCAAAAAGAAAAGCCCTGAAGTTAAATCAGAGGTTCCCTTCAATAGCCCGTTCCGCAACTGTGTGCATCATCGCCATGGGGAATAAGACTTCACCGTCCTCGTCCCTTGCCTCAAACATCTTGTTGAGAATGTGCGCCAGGACGGACATGCGATCGAGCTCATTGTGCCAATCAGTCAGATTGACTTTCAGGGTTGATGACTTCCCACCTCGACGGACTGCCAATTCATGGGTATACAAGATGCGCCGGATGAACACCAGCTGTTTTTCGGCGTTGATGGTCATAATCTCTCGCCAAACATCTGAGTTGCGAGCTCCCGAAAGTGAACTCGTACTTCCCAAGAGCCATCGCTCATCGAGCAGCACCGGGTTCGATAAAGCTGACAGGGTTCCGCGGGCACAAGGAGCAACAATGCAGCAACAGTAATATCACAATGTGATACCTACAAGATACAGACCAACTTTGAAAGGTGAGGTTGGGATAGGTTGGGTTCCACCTGGCACTGGTTCCCCGCTCCTGAGTTCTCGAACTTGAACTGATGGAGATGTTTCTCCAAGAGCAACCAGGTCTCCTCCGAGACGCCCACCTAGGGGTTCAAGACAGGGCGCAAAACCCCGTGTCGCACAAAATGGACCCCCTTTGAGATACCTTGTCGGCAAAGCTTGCAAAACAACAGTCGGTCAAGACTAGGGGCTCGAAAACCATATAACTGCGAGGCTGTCGTATCATCAACTCTGCAGCGCGAGGAAAAATTTGACTGCCCAAACTGGTTGTACTCATCAATCGCTGCCATGAATGCAGTCTTGAAGTCGTTGTATTTCACCGGATCCTGGTGGTCAAAGGTTTCAAATTAAATCCAATGATGGACCGACTGCCTTTCATTGCAATCAGACCTCGTATGAACCACATGATACCTAGCGTCACATCCAACTGTGGGCAACAGATTAATACACTACTTCACGGGCTGGATAATAAGGTTCGACATCCCAACATGATAATTTAGTGACATTGTTTGGGTATTGCCTGTCCTGGCTTTGCAAGTCTTTAGCATGTCCTTCAAAGAATAAAGCCTTCTGGAGAATGCTTTTCTTCTCCCGCTGAGCCTGCTGCTCGTGCACTTGTAGTCGTCTCCACGAGCATTCTGCCGCAGTGACCGTGACAATTTTGCACTTAATCAGTTTGACGGTATTGGCCCACCTGACGAATAGAAAAATCATGAACATTTCTTTAGACGATAAAAAGCGTCACCTTGGAGGGGCTTTAAAAACAAAATTTCCAAGACGACGGTTTGGGTGAAACCATCACCTTGGGGAGTCTTTTGGCAGGTGCCCCCAAAATATCTAGGTGTGACCCCCAAAATATCTAGGCAATCCGATGCGTTCGTTTTCATGCCGCCAAAATATCCCAAGACGACGGTTTGGTCCAAACCATCACCTTGGAGATATTTTGCGGGCACAGCGATTAAGTCTGATGGCCCAAGACGACTAGTTTGTAAGGCGACGGTTTGGGTGGAACCATCACCTTGGGAGAGGGTCAATTTTTCAGGTCTCCAAGACGACACTTTTTATACCCTGACCTCAGGAAGTCTGTCAGTTTCTCCTCTTTCAACTCCTCCCGGAGTTTCTGGTAGGTGTGGTAGATGCCCCAAAGTATGATGGAAACCCGGCCCAATCCTTTCACTGCCACCACACTTCCGAAGGCCATCGGACTCCCCTCGGCAGGTCCACCATCGACGATCTTGATTTCGATGACCTCACGCCAAGGCTCAAAGCCACGGAAAAAAATGTCCTTTGCTGTGGACATCCATTGGTGGAATAGAGGGAACCCATCGACAGGCTTCAAGTATTTGAAAGCCATCACCGGGACATCGACAATGTCTGCACCTGCCAAGTCTACCTCAGAATGGACGGGGGCTTCCAAAGCGACGTTCCTTGAATGGAACAAGCAGGGACCATTCACAAAACACTGCCCAGCTACTGGAACATTATAGTTCTTCGGATCCGGAAATGTTGGTTCGAGATCTGAAAGCCAGGTCTGGATAGGATCATACAGGCCTGGACCTAGTTCCTCCAGCAGTTGTCGTGCAGGATGCTCGTCCTTCCCCACATCAAATGACCTCCAGCGATCTTGGTTCAAGGTTAGGTTGTATAGGATTGTGTTCTAGACTAATGGCACCTTGAACATTGGAACACCTCGCTGGCCCATGGCATAGACTCCTTGAGGACTTTACCCCGACCACCATCGCCCGGGGGCGGCCCTCCTGGCCGCTTGGTAGGAGGCATGTTGAATGCCGAGCCCAAAAGAACTGCATCGGGGGTGGTTCAAGTGCCTTGCTGTAAACAAAACTTGTTGCAACCCCGTGGTGTTACCCAAAGACGTTGAACTGAGTGTTGAACTGGTTTGGCACTGCTGGGGCCGTCCTTCATCGATCGAATTATAGAGGGCGACAAACCCTCACTCTTTGCGCTTCAGAGCTAGAGCCGCAATCATTAGCATAGCTCCAACACAAGGGCAGCTCATACTGTTACCTGCCATTCTGACCAAATTGGAAGGCCGGACCACATCGTGGTCCAGCTCAAGCTTTGGAGCTTTGCACAATTTGGACTGCCCAGATGTTACAGGCAGAATGTGCGTTGCGATCATTTCCGCTGGTGCTAGGAACCTGTTGTGGTCCTGGAGCAAGGGAGTCAATGTGGACAATTAACACTCTTTACGGTTCCTATCTAAGCATACTTTGGGGGTCATTGAAATTCAAAAAACAAACACGGTTTCAAGGTCCAGCGAGAAAATCTTGGATGAGTTCGTAGTCAACGTCTCCAGTGAGCCGTCACGGAGCTCTGCACGGCCCCGTCCATTAGCAGAGGACTGGCAAAGGTCAGGAAAAGATTTCCCCTTGAACTTGTCGTCATTCCTATAAGCTGCTAGGTTCCGTGCCTAAGATCATCTAAGATCCACACACCGGTCAAGAACCTTTTCTAGACAGGATGAAACAGGGGTGGGTGTCAAGTGAAAATAGATAAAATAGTACCAGGACCATTTATCCCAAGTGTCATCTGCCGCTGTCAGCTTTGCCCTTGGCAGGTCCATCCAAAAGCACGACTTGGCGCTCGACACCATCTTTGCTGCAAGAGCGTCGATGACCTCCGAGATGACAATGTCGGGTCTCCAAGTGGCACGTGCTTTGTTGAAAGCAATGCAATATAGCCTTGTTCGTGAGCATGGCACCCCAAATATCCTGGGGTCAATCACTGCTTCCTTCAGCTGCCAACCCTCTCCGAGCTCGCCCTGAATGATGTCCACCTTGTAGTCCGGGACGTTCTCTATCAACATGACGTCGCATAGTGCAGACATGTTGGCATAGTAGCTCTCATGGGTCTTAAATGCTATGTCGTTGGTTCCCAAGCGTTTCCCCATTCGTGAGAAGCTGATGCAGACGGGTCCTTGTTCAGAAGAAAAACTGGGATTCAGTATGAGTCTCCCTCAGTCAATGTGTCTAGATACGCTTTAGATACACTCCAAGACCCTCACCAGCGGCATTCACCTTCAGCCGTCCTAAGCACAAACTGAATGTGGTGCACACCCTGAACATGGTTGTTGCTCACCAGACTCAAACAGTTACGATGATGCTAAGTTTCTGTTCTTCTTACGATGCTTGCGAACACAGCAATAGCGCTTGTGTGCTGAGCACCACAGTGTGGCCTTGCTGGCGTCAAACTCCAAAATGTCATGAAAGTTGCATCCACCGTACGTTGATTTGAGTACCTGTGCGCACGCAGGATCATTCTCCACCGTGAAATCATAAAGAACACTGGTGGTCTTCGCTGGCTTCTGGACTTTTCTCAAATAGTCGTGACATTCCGCTTCAAGACTCTTCAATGCCTCGCGGAAGTCAGAAGCATAACGAACAACACACAGTGTCAGACCAATGGGTTCCCGGCCGACTCCGCAGCCCCAATGCCAGAAAAGGCACTGCTGAAGCACCAACGCCACGCCCGCAATCTAGATGTCAGAAGGGCCTGGCCATACCGCTTCTCCAGGCGTTTGATGAAATGCCGTGGCCATGCGTAAGCACTGTGAATGGATCGATACCCATCCACGTGATTGGATGACGGAGCCCACACAGTTGTTCTTGGGTACTTCCACCGCCTCCCACACATGCACTATATCACCCCTTCCAAAAAGAAGTGGCTGGACTTTCAAGTTCAATCCAAAAGCCAGCCTTTCACTGTTCTTAGACTTGAGTTTGTTCAACTTTTTCACGGTCTTGGCTGTCCTGCTCAACAATCAGTAATTTGAGATTCGAGACCAAAAGCGATCAAACAAGTTTGCTCCTGCTTGGTTTCAGTGGAGCTCGCGTGGCTGCACACACAGCGTCTCTAAGGCACAACGGCATTTGGGAGACCTGTGATGCCTGAGCCTCAAATCACTGTAAGGGTCATATTTGGCCTGCAACCTTACAGTACACATTGAACATTAAGCCTCAGTCTGTAAAACAGTTAGTCGGCATTCTTTTTCAGTCAGGAAGACGCTGACACTGACTGTGAGGTTCAGCCCTGCCCCTAATGAGATCTAGTTTGCTTCACAACTATCCAGCTCCACACGTCGAGCTTTCTTATCCTGCAGGGCTCAAAGAAACAAACAGACTTGTAGTGTGCAAGCCATGCCTTGGCCCAGGTGGATGCAGTCTCGAAGTCCTGTCAGGCTGCAGCACACTTGCTGGCTGTACCCACAACGCACGGAGCCTCAGACACGCTTCGCTTTTTGCCACCCATCGGAGTAGCCTGTTCGGGCAGACGGAAACAATCAGGGGGTTGAAGATTCAAACTGTTTGCCTGTTGGTCATCCCGTTGTGGTGCTGCAAGAGCCTTCATTGAAACCATGTCCACCTGAAAACAAATAACTTTTTGGCACTGAACTGTAACTAATTGTGTGGATGCCTTGTGGGTGAATGTCACCGCGGAAGAGAGCGCCTGACCAAAGGCAATGAACACAGAATCACTCGACTTCCTATACTGAGCCTTGTCGAGGTGCACGTCCTTCAATGCAGCGTGTTGAGGTGGTGCGGGATCCTGGAGCGAATGAGTGATCAGCCAATGACATATGACTGAACTGGGCGTCCTCCAATAAAAGTGAATCAGTGGGAACCTGCACAGCAGGACCAGGATCAGGATCCTGGAAAGACTGACTGTAAATCAAAATAATTAAGATATAAATAGTCCTGGGAGTCTTCCACCCAAATCACCTCGGACTTTGGCACATTGTTCTCCTCTCAGACAAGTTCCAT